GGAAAAGGTAGGAAACAGTTGGTTTGTTTCCCAGAAGGAAGAAAGGGGGAAGGGTGGGGTTTAATCTTCAACATCTTGGAAGGCTTCACTATTTATTTAGAGAAAATGTTCACCATAGCTAAGGAGTTTAAAGTGGCAAATAAGGGTTTTATGTATCTGAAGGAGTTTGAGTCAGAAAAAACCGTAGTTTTTGCATGAGGGAATTGAAAGTGCAATATGGATGTTAAGGAAGGAAAGGACTGGAATAAGATGCTAGTGGTTGAATTGAATGAGGGGGTGCAGGAGTGGAAGAAGATTGCAGAGGCGGTAAGTTGAGGTTTAAAACTTAAAGGTACTATGATTTTCACACCTTTTGAAAAACGAGAAGCCCTTATTTATTTGGTTGAAGAAGAAATGGAGTTGGAAGCAGTAAGTTTACAGATGATTTGGGGTAACATTTGACTCAAGGTGGTCTCCTTTGTCCAATGCAAAGTCACTGTGTATTGAAGATGGCGTTACTGTTCATTTGGTCGAACTTCCTTTCCATCTTTGGAAGCAAGAAGTATTTATGTCCATTGCATCAATTTTTGGAGGGAAGTTAGTAGGAGTCTTCACTATCGATTTGCACTCGGCAGCATTACTTATCAATGGAGTTAAGCCAAAAGACATTCCTGGAAAGGTGGGCGTGCTGACTGAAAATCTTCTCTTATCACCATAGTTTTTAAGGTGCCAAGGCGAGGCTAGGCGATAGGGGGGCGCCTTGTCGCCTAGTCGCCTAGGCGATGGATCTTTTTTAAGTAAAGCCATATATCCTAGGGTAGTTCCCTAGGTTTCATAACCATCTTTCCTTAATAATTATCCATAATTTTCATAAGAGAAGTATAAATTTCATGTTTTAAGTTTAGAAAATCAACATTTTATGAGAAGAAAAGGAACGAAGGAAAAAAAATATATAGGGGCTGAACCCCTACTTTTGTTATAGGAAAAGACGAAAAGAAAAGGTGGAAGAAGATCTATAAGAAGAAAATGTGTTGATTAGACAAAATTTTAACTTCTTCCCTTGCTTATTGGCTCAAGTTCTGAAATCTTTGAGTATTCAATCAAGGATCAAAGCTTCAATATGATATGCCCCGTATCGGGTGAATTGTATTGTATCTTTTGCGTCCCAATACACATGTTTACAGGTGTTTTCAGGAACCCATTTTTTAAAATAATATATATATATATATTTAAAAATGAAATTGAAAACCAAATAAATAAAAAAATAGGGGGAGTATCGTTATAAGTACTGATACACCTCTACCGATACACAGAGGTGTATCAATACTTTGAACCACGGGTTCAATACAACAATTAGCAATGTTTGTGTTGATTAAACCCTAACAAATAAGAAAATAATAAAAATAAACACATAAAATGAGTATTTTAGTTTAATATTGCCTATTTTATAATTATAATGTCAAAAAATATAAAATATAAAAGCATTTTATAACGTAGTGCACAAAACTACTTGGCGACTGGGCGAGGTGAGCCTCCAAGGGCACCTTGTCGCGTAGATGCCCGCCTAGGCGTCACCTTGACAACTATGCTTATCACCATGGTTAGTGACCTCCATTGAAGCTTCTCTGTGGAAGGAAGCTCGCAGGGAGGAAGATGAAGGGACTGAGAGGGAATGCCTACATTGCATTCAAGGTATTGTTGGGTAAAGAGCTAATGGTTCTTATCTTTTTTTTTTGTCTAAATAAAAAAAATGGAGAGTGAGAAAGGAATAGAGCAGATAAAAGGTCTCCTCAAATTGGGTCTTGGAGAGGGGTAACCAGTGTTTTAAAAGCGCAAGGGCTAATTTGCGCATGAGGCACAAGGCGTAAGGTGAGGCACGTGCCTTTTTAAGAAAGGTGCAAAATTACAAAAAAAAAGCTAAAAAAGTCGGAAAATTCAAAAAAATGCCAAAATTAAAAAAATGCAAAAAATTCAAAAAATATTAAACATAATGTTAATAAAAAATATAAACTTAAATTTTAAAATAAATTAATTAAAAAACCTATTATCTAAAATTAAAATACATAAACATAACATGTGAAGTATATTCAAATGAAAATTTAAAAATAAAAGCAAACATATAAAGCATTTTCAAGCATGTAAAACCCACAATCTCTTTTTTTTTCCTAATTGCATTGCTTCAAGTAGCTAATGTGATGTAAAACATATTGCATTCTTAATTCTATGAGTCACCTTTGTATCACACCCCTCGAGGCAAGCCCAAACAAGTCTTTCTAGAGCTCCGAGAACCCCATATTTGCTGATGTTGTTCATTCATTAATTGCAATAAAATATCTTCTTAAAAGGCGATGAAAGTTGTAAAATCATTATTTTTTTATGTAAGAAATAAGAATTTCAGACCCTAACATAAGCTTGGGCTTGCCTCGAGCCCGGTCGAGCTGTTAGACTCAAAAAAAGCAAAAAGCGCAAAATTTTAAAAAGGCGCACGCTTGGGCTGAGGTGCCTCAGGCGCATGCCTAGGCTCACCAGGCGCGCGCCTTTTGAAAGGGGTGCACCTAGGACCTAGGCGAGGCGCATACCCCAAAATGCGCCTCACCAGGCGCGCCTTTTAAATCACTGGGGTAACAATCGAAAAAGTACCTATATTCAAACGATGACAGATGGTGTTTATGCAAGTTTGCATGCACATGAGTTTTATGACTCAGTGGAGAAGCCTAAGAGAGTGGTAAAAGAGGAGGCGGGTCGGGTGGATGGGTTAAGTTGGGTTGTGGATATGGAAACAACTTATGAGGATGATAAGATAAGGGACCATATGGGGGGAGGGAATTTATTTAACTCGGTTGGGCTTGTTATAGCCCAAAGCTGTTGGGCTGGGGAAAAAGGGTGGGCCAAATGAGATTAATAGTTTAGCTAGTGAGGAGGCACGTGGATTTTTAAGGGAGCATGTGACTAGTGAGATAGAGGAAATAATAGACGAATTTTTGGGTCTATCTTCTTCTTTAATAAGAACTCAATGTGAGGCTGTGGGTAACAACCCAATAGAGGAGTTTCAGGAAGCGTAGGAAGAGGAGAACGAAGGGGTAATAGCTGTAGGGTCCAGTGAGACATATGTGGTACGGGTAGGCGAAGAGATACAACTGTCCAATGGAAAAATCAAAGAAGGTGGTGATTCGTTTACCATAGGCGGAGGGGACGGAATTTCAAAGTGGTTGGAAGGAGTTGAAGGGGATGAGGAAAGAAGGAGCTCAAGGAAGGTAGCAAATGATGATGGGGATTGTTCGGGGAAGAAGAAGGAAGAGGAAGAAAGGGAAGGAAACAAAAGGAAAGAGGTTAATAGAGCAAAGGTCTTACAAAGGAGAAGGAAATATAGAACGAAGCCCCTTGAGGATGATTTGGAGGGGAAGAATGAAGAGACCACATTGGATGAGACCCATGAAGTTGGGAGGAAAGCCGATCTAGAAAAGGTTATTAACAAAGAGGTTGAGGTAAATAAGATATTGGGACTTCTTTTCTTGGGCGGAGAGGATTTTGCTATGAAAGCCTTTAGGGAAGTGGAAGAAAGCGCGAGTGGGGTCTTGAAGGTCAGTGGGAAAGGACATTTCAAGCCCTATTGAAGATTCTCTAGAGGTAGAGGGGGAAAAGAACAACAGACTATAGAGTGAAGCAAGGCCTAAGCAACACAAGGGAGATATGATTTGGTAGCGGAGCAAGTGTTCGAGAAGAAAGTGATCTTTGAGATTGAAAAGATTAGTGCTTTCAATAGAGAAAGGAAGAAATATGAAGGTCATCCCAATGCGGTTAAAAGATTTAGACATCAAAAGTTCAGCAGATCCATGCCAGTTAAGGTGCTTGATAAATTGAAAGGGGGCTTATTTGGGATTTGAATCAACAAGAGGTTAAGAAGAATAGAAGGGTTGTTAAGAAAAAGAAAGAGACTATTTAGTTCAAATGCAGAAGGTATGGGGTGAGCCTTGTTGCCCTGTGAAGGGGTCTCTGGTGGGGTGGTGTCAGTTTTTGGTCTATGGGAAGTCAAGTGTGTGTGGGTGGGGGGGGGTTACTTTAGGGGTTTTTTGTTGTTTCTTTTGCCGTTGTTCTGTTGGCAGGTATTTCGTTATCACCTTCTTGTGTTTCTCTCTCTCTCTCTCTCTCTGAATAAACTTTTTCTTCATTTATCTTCAGAAAAAAAAATCTGTAAACAGCATATATAAGGAGCATTGCTTGACTGAAAAATAACCACATAGTTATTTGAGGAAACTAATTTACAAAGGCCTGCACACCCTCCATATGAGAGTACATATCGCAAAACAGCCACATTCCTCCTGCTTGGCCATTGGAGGGGTCAAAGGGGACTTGGTTAATGCTATATGGTGGGGTCAAATGGTAGAAGTGACCTTTTAGTTGTCTTATTCCTAATTAGGGTGATCATGGTTAATATGAAATGATCAGTTTGTGGAGAAGGATTTTCATATATTGCAAGCTGTTTTGTGTTTATAGTTTCTCCACTGTCTAGCCTTTTTTTAGGGGACCTTGCTCCTAAAACTTTATGATATGCTCATAAAGAAAAATGAATACCATTTTTTTTTTGTGTGCGTGAGGCTTTACCTGCAAAATTTGTCAAAGACTAAAGGAACCCATTCTGCATGGGAAATCATTCTCCACCTAGCAAATACTAGAGAAAAATATGTTTGACTTGACATACTATAATTGACACTAATCTTGAAAAGGTATATCTATTTTCTGATTTTTAAATTCTAGAACTGATCTTTTTTTTTTGATAAATATTCTAGAACTGATCTTTTAGCTATATTTTTTTTTTCATATTTGTCGTATTATTATATGTACAAGTCTTTAATGTTGTAAATGTAGTGTGAATCTGTGCAAATTGGGACTCTTGCTTACTGGTGTACATAGATCATTCTTTGTCTTCATATTAACAGAAGTAAACTGTCACCAATTTAAAAACATGTACTATGAATCTGTTCATTTGCTGATCAAAAAATTGGATCTGTTCATTGTTGCAGCTTGCTCCATTTGACCCAACGAAGAAGAAAAAGAAGAAGAAGGTTGTAATTCAGGATCCTGCAGATGAATCTGTTGATAAGTTGGCTGAAAAAACAGAGAATTTATCAGGTATTAATTTGAATCAGTGACTAATAATTTTCTTGCTGAAGGGTTTTTATTTTCTTGATAAGAAGCAGTTGAATGGGGTTTATTGAAAGAAAAAAAGAGTTCCTTACTATCTAAAAACATAGTAGGGTAGAAGAGAAACCAGCTAAAATGTTGACCATACACAATAGTATGACAGATCATACAATTCACCCCCTGGCCCTGGTGTTTGCCATACAAAGTTGTTTCTTGTAACACCTGTTCTTAATAGAGTCAACCAGGCTGCTGCTCTTGGAGAATAACCAGTTCAGCTAGAAGCTAAAGTTCTCAACTCTGACTCTGACCAGAAACCTTATCATCTGAGGAATTCTGTGATCTGATTAATAATCAATTCATGACTGGTTGGCATTTATAAAAAAGGACCAGTTGACATTCTCGTTTGACTATCAAGTTTATCCACTCTGCCATGCAAACAAGTTTTAGACCTTAGAATTGGATTGTTGGGTTGATATTTTAAAGTAATTTATTATTACTATTGTTTCATTTATAGGATGCATTATTCTTCTTTGGAATTTATGAGATTCTTCAAATGCAGTTTCTGATGGAGTAGAAAATACTTTTGCTGGTATGAAAAAGAAGAAGAAGAAACAGGTAACCATGCACATAAGATGTAGTCTTCCTTGCTAATGACATTTTTCTTTCTACCCTAGCAGCCATTGATTTGTATGTGATGGCCTGTTGTTGCAGGTGGAGACAGATTTCCTTAATGAGGAGAATGTGAATGGGGAAGAGGATTTGGATGGTAAGAGATGTTATTATTTGAAACAATCTTTTAATACTTGGACTAGATTGGCCTTGGTATCAGGGTCCTGTAATTCAGACACCTTTCCACCACAAAATGATTTGTTCTGTCCCTGAACTGAAACAACCTCAAAATGATTTTGAGGCCAGCTTATGTGCGTGGCTTTACTTGGATTTTGGTGAGATTTGGTTAATCTGACCTGCCTATTTTTGGGTTTAGCAACCTGATTGAGTGAATGAAGTGGATCAGAGAGTCCAACTATCTGACTTGAAAGTAGAGAATACATGAAAGTAGAGAATCTACAAAATCATGAAAAATAAGAAAAATGTGAAAAAGAACACCATATGAAGGAAAACAGCCTTTTGTCTCTTACAGAAGGACAAGATCCATTACTGAGAAAGTTGTAAATAATAACAATGAGAATCTAACTATCTTTTTTTTTTTAACTGAAAGGGGGGTGGGGGGGTGTCACGTATTAAGTTCAAGTAACTGAAGGAGATAGAGACTCCATTTTTGGGGTTTCAGTTACCTCTGAAGTCTGAACTGCGTATATCTTTGATTGTTCTTAAAGCTTATGGGGTTGAAGTTTGAATTTGAAGCTAAGGGGGGCTGAAGGAAAGATGTGATAGAATTTAAGACTTTAGTTTCCCTTGAAGCTCTGGAGTTGAATTTAGTTGTTGAAGCTTTTGGAGGATCAATATGAAATTTTGGGATTACTTTTTGGGAATCTTTATTAACATCTCAAAATTAAATTTGAATGGAAAGAGAAGCTTAGAAAAATTTGAAATTGACTACCAGTATGGTCGTGCTGCAAATTTTGTATGACCTCTACCGTCTGACCATTAATCCGATGGGGTCTTGAATGGATAAACTGATTCATAAGTTGAGTTGCTAGTTCAATAACATTGGACTTATCTCATTGAAAAACAGAATTTCTAGTCTACACCTTAAAAATGTTGATCTTTCTCATTGTATCATGGATAACATGCTATTAAAAAAAGAGATATTTTGTAACTATTCAGGTCATGGAGCAGAGGATGAAGAAGGACAGGGGATTGTGCTAAGGCAGTATCCCTGGGAAGGAACTGACCGAGATTATGAATATGAAGAGGTTGGTCTTTCATTTTGTATGTATCTAGAACTTTTTTCAATTACGTTGAAACGTTGATGGCGTTCATTTATTTATTTATTTTTTGATGGGTAATGTTCATTTTAAAATTTTCTGGATCATTATGTGCTGGTAGAAACTTGTAACATGGCTGTTGTTAATTAGGGCATTTTTAGTTTTGCCTGTAATGTGTAGAGCCTGTAGGCTTATCTTATCCCAACTATATGGGTCGACTATATGAATCCTGTTTCACCAATTCGTTCTATTTAAAGTCATATCCACTATTAAATTATTAGTCCTTAAATCATTTTTTACTATTTCAACCCATGTCCTTTATTTTGGTCTACCCTGAGCTTTTCTAGCCCCTTCAATGTGTAACGAATCACTTCTTCTTACTGTCACAGTTGGTGGTATTCTATGCACGTGCCTAAACCATCTTAGTCTACTCTCCCTCATTTATCACCACTTGAAAAAATTAAACCAGCAAATAGTTGTTTTCTGATTTAAAAAGGTAGAAAAGAAAGAGAAAGAAGGGTCACGAATAGAAGAGGAAGGGAGAGAGGAAGAGAAGAAGTAGGAAAGAAAGGGTTCAGCTGAATTGTTGTTTCTAGCCGCCCACTAAGATGTATTTATGTTGTGATTTATTACAATGACTAATTACCATAATACCCTTACTTAAAACAAATGAAAGAAAGACAAACAAACAAGGTCCAGCCGACCTAGTTATTCTAAATAAAAAATAAAATAAACAGCAGGTATAAAATGTGGGGTTGGAACCCCACAAACACTAACAACTTATCAGCTATCTCTACACTCCCCCTCAAGTTGGGAGTAGATATTTGTCATACCCAACTTGCGTAAATCTGTCTCCAACCTGAATTTTGTGATTGCTTTAGTAAAGAGATCAGCTAGCTGCATATGGTAACATAGAGAAGACACTTCTTGAGATGCAATACACTCTCGGATAAAATGCCTGTCCACCTTGATATGCTTAGTCCTGTCATGCTGTATTGGGTTATGGGCAATGTTAATTGCTGCTTGATTATCACAATACAACATCAAAGGTTTCTCATAGTCAATTCCAAGTTCATCTAGCAAAGATTTCAGCCATAATACTTCTGCAACACCATTGGCCATGGACATGTATTCAGCTTCAGCACTGGAGCGAGTAACAACATTTTGTTTCTTGCTTCTCCAAGAAACAAGGTTTCCCCCTACAAATGCACAATACCCCAAGGTAGATCTTCTCTCATCAATATATATCCAACCCAATAAGCAAGTATCCTTGCTTATGTGTCCATTGTTCTTGAAAAATATGCCTCTTCCTGGGCATCTCTTCAAGTAAGCAAGTATCCTTTCCACTAAAAGAAGGTGAGTGGTTCTAGGAGAATGCATGTACTGACAGCATATGAAATGTCTGGTTGTATTAGGCAGAGATAAAGAAGTTTCCCAACTAACCTTTGATACATAGCCCTGTCCTCGAGGTTCTCCACCTTCTGCACTTATTTTATGGTTCAACTTAATGGGTGTGTTAGCAGGCTTTACTCCTAACTTTCCAGTTTCTTCCAATAAGTCAAGGACATACTTTCTTTGAGAGATGAAGATGCCATTTTTAGATCGAGTCACCTTAATTCCTAGGAAATAGCGCAGTTCTGCCAAGTTTTTTTACTTCAAATTCTTTGTGAAGATTCTGCTTAAGAGCATCTATCTCATTAATATCACTTCCAGTCACCACAATATCATCCACATAGACAGCAAGTAAGGTCAAAGGAAAGTTTGTCTTCTTAAAGAAGAGAGTGTGATCTGATTGAGCCTGCATGTAGCCGAACTTTTCTAATGCCAATCTAAACATGTCAAACCAAGCTCTCGGAGATTGTTTCAGCCCATACAAAGCCTTCTTTAGTCGACAAACTTTCTTTCCTGCTTTTGTATTGTAAAAACCGGGGGATAACTCCATGTACACCTCCTCCTGCAAATCTCCGTTTAGAAAAGCATTCTTGACGTCCATTTGAAAAAGTGGCCAAGAGAAGTTCGCAGCCATAGATAGTAGGACTCTAATTGTGTTCATCTTTGCAACTGGTGCAAAAGTCTCCATATAGTCTATGCCATAAGTTTGTGTGAAGCCCTTTGCAACCAATCTGGCCTTGTATCTCTCTACAGAGCCATCAACATTATATTTTACTATAAACACCCATCTGCATCCAACAGGTTTCTTCCTCTCAGACTGGTCAACTAGTTCCCAAGTGTTGTTCTTAATAAGTGCATCCATCTTTATTTGCATTGCTTCCTTCCATTCAGGTATCAGAAGAGCCTCTTGCACAGTTTTGGGTATATGAATGGTAGCAATAGATGCCAAAAATGATCTGTAGGATTTTGAGAGACGACCATAAGAGAGAAACTGGGAGATACAATGAGCAGTGGATGAAGTACAACGACACTTCCCTTTACGAATTGCAATTGGGAGATCAAGGTCATTTGAAGGAAGGGACTGAGGCTCAACAGTGTTAGGTGAAGTATCTGCAATAGTGGGCTCAAAAATGGGTGTAATGCCTGGATCTGAAGCTGTATGAGGTGTTGGGATCGGCCTAGATTGTTGTGAACGAGAACCAACCTGCCTAAACCACTGTCTGTGATACACTCTCAACTCTCTGTACTTTTGACAACCCTCTTCACGGCACTCCCCCTCAACAACTGGGATTGGTAATGGAACATCTGGGGCTGAAATCCCTTCCTCACGACTCTCCCCCTGAGGAAAGGCCCTATGATAGTAGGGCATATCCTCAAAAAAGGTGACATCCATGGACACATAACGCCTTCCTGAAACAGGATCATAACAGTAATACCCCTTTTGATTTTGTGCATACCCAAGGAAAATACATTTAGCAGCTTTGGGATCAAATTTGGAGCGATGAGGTCCCAGGATTTGAACAAAGCAAGTACACCCAAAGGTTTTAAGGGGAATAGTGAACAAGTCCTTGTTTGGATACAGAAGGTTGAATGGTGTTTTCATGTCCAAAACCCGTGAAGTAATTCGGTTAATAAGGTAAACAGCAGTACGGATTGCCATCCCCCCAGAAGCGTATGGGAACATTAGAGTTGAGCATAATGCTTCTGGCTATTTCCAAAATGTCTGTTTTTCTCTCAGCAACCCCATTTCGTTGAGGTGTACGGGGACAAGTGCTCTGATGAATAACTCCATGGTCTAGAAGATATGATGCCAGGGGTTTTGCAAAATACTCTTTGGCATTATCAGATCTGAGAATTTTGATCTTAATTTCAAATTGGGTCAATACCATCTGATGGAAAGCTTGGGTCAGTGAAGGAACCTCATCTCGAGAGTGCATGAGGTATATCCACGAGAAACGAGTAAACGAGTATAATCATCAACAAATAACAAGAAGTATCTGTACCCCCCCCCCCCATGGCAGGAGTATGATATGGCCCCCAAACATCAATATGCACAATTTCAATTTGAATATTGCTTCTTTTATTGCTCAAAGAATAAGTTGACCAACAATGTTTTGCAAGTTTGCAGCTTTCACACTTCAAACTAGACACTTGGACAGACTCAAACAAACTTGGAAACAGACTCTTCAAAGACCCAAAGGACAAATGACCTAATCTGTTATCCAAAGCATAATCTGACCCAAAGACTGAGAAACAAACAATCTCCCAACTTCACTTTCCTTCCCCTGTGGATGCTCAAGCATGTAGACTCCATTCGTCTCATGGCCAATCCCAATCACCTTCCTTGTTTCCAGATCCTGAAAGACACAACGATCGGGAAAAAAAAGTCATTGAAAAGTTTTGATTCTTAGTAATACTACTAATTGAAAGCAAGTTAGCACTAAGCTTAGGGACATACAAAACTGAAGACAAGGAGATGGCATCCAACAACCTGATGTCTCCCTTACCAGAAATAGGAACAAGAGAGCCATCAACAATAGACACTTTGTCTTTGCTTGAGGATAAACAGTAGGTGGATAAACTAGTCATATGGTCAGAAGCACCTGAATCTATTACCCAGAAGGGTCTAGTATTACCTGGGGCCGAAGTGTGATATGTTGTAGCTCTTGTACCTGAGGAAGCAAAAGCTGAAGTAGGAATGGCAGGAGTAACAGTTGAAGGCTGAGATGATGACCCGGAAATACCAGCTTCATTCTCCAATTGTGTCAAGGCGGCCCGGATAGCAGCTAAGGCATCTAGAGATGTGATTCTTGTATTGGAAGATGATGCATTGTCAGTGTTGGCTGCCATATTAGCACTTCCTTTCTTATTTCTGAATCTAGTTGGAACAAGATGGGGATACAACTTCCAACAAGTATCCCTAGTATGCTTGGGCTTCTTACAATGATCACAAAACATCTCCCTTTTATCTTCCTTCTTTATTTCCTTTTCTTGATCTTTCCCAAATTTCTGTTTTGTTGCTGCTAGGGCTGATTCCATGGGTTGAACTTGTAACATCACATTTCTTCTAATCTCTTCACTGTGCACTAGTGAATAAGCCTGAGACAAGGTCACACTATCCTTGGTAAGAAGTTGATGTCTTACTATGTCAAATTCTGAATTCAGACCTGCTAGGAATTCAAAAACTCTGTTTGTTTCAACCAGCTTGCTATAGGTAGTCGCATCTCTCTGACTCTCCCATTCAATGGTTTCCAAATGGTCAATTTCATGCCACAAAGATTCCAAAGTAGCAAAGTAAACGGAGATTGGCTTCTCCCCCTGCTTGAGATTTTTCACTTCACACTTCAGTTCATAAGCCCTAGCAACATTAAGAGGTTGGGAGTAGGTCTCTTTCATATTATCCAAGATTTCCTTAGCCGTTTTGGCCCATAAATAATTTTGGCTAATGTGGGGCTGCATTGAATGGCTGATTGTGCTCTTGAACCCATTTGGCAAGTGATGTGTCTTCTGCTGGTTTCTTTATATCCCCCGTTGCATAGCCTAATTTACCTCTACCCCCAATTGCATCATGGCTGATTGTGCCCACTCCAAGTAATTTGTTCCATCAAACCTAACAGTTGTAATTTGAAAAGAACTTCCAGTCATACTTCCTGCCCCTAAAAAACTTTCCCCTGGAGTCTTGAATTCACTTCCAACTTTCTCCATTTTAAAGAGGATGTTAACAGTCACTACCAGAAATCAATTTCAGATTATTGGTAACTCCCAAGAAACACTCCTCAGTCGACAAGAACACCCAGGAGCCAAAAAAAACAGATTACTGTAGCTACTCAAGAACCAGTCACAGAAAAATGGGAGCAATAGTTGACCATGGGATTTCACAAAAAACTCAGAGAAACTAGCAGATATATCAGAAAACTGCTGAATTAAGGTCGATCTCTGTCAGAAAACTAACAGCAATAATTGACTTAAACCAGAACTGTCAAAAAAAAAAACTCCTTTCAAGGTCGATCTCTGTCAAGAAACCCTAAAGAAATGGCAAAGGAAACAGAATTCTATTGACCACTACTTCTAGAAGGTTAAAAACTGTTCCCTTTAAGGTCGATCTCAATAAAGATGAGTTCTTTCTCAGAAAGAATTTGATTGTCACCTTTAACCTTCAGATTAAGCCCTAATCTTTGACTAACTGACTTCTCTGACTCTTCCTGGTCACCGGGCACTCTCCAAAGGTCGTGTAACCCCTTGGGCACAATTCGAATCTCCAGTGATCCTTCAAGAATCAGGCGAAGATGCAATACTTCAGATTCAATACTTCTCATGCTGCCAACTGGATTAGGCTCACATGAGAGCCCTAAACTGCTGTAGTTTTGGCTCTGATACCAACTTGAATAATTTAAACCAGCAAATAGTTGTTTTCTGATTTAAAAAGGTAGAAAAGAAAGAGAAAGAAGGGTCACGAATAGAAGAGGAAGGGAGAGAGGAACCCCACAAACACTAACAGCTTATCAGCTATCTCTACATCACCTATTCAAACTACTCCTAGGTTCCTATAGATAACTTCATTTCTAATCTTATCCTTTCTAGTTTTTTCACTCATCCATCTTAGCATTTGCATTTCTGCAACATTCATTTTCTGGAAATGTTTCCACTCATCCATCTTAGAATTTTTTTTTACCCATTGAAGCATCTATCTTTTAAATTTGTTTAATTCATTTCGGTAAGACCATAGAGCATCCTCAAAGTCTTGCAATTAAGTACTGAAAGTTCTAACATATTTGTGGGCTGGTCTGCTACTTGGGTCATTTAATGTGCTTTTTTTTATAAATAATATATAGCATTTCAATAAAATCAAGAGGAAATTACAGACCCTTGGGAAGGTGCAAGATGCCGCCTCTCCAAGACAGGGAACCCAAAAAAAAAAGCATAAACCATAAGAACTATAGCAATGAGTACATGAGTGCTACTACAAAACAGTGTTTCCCTATTTGTCCCTTGTTTTGCCAAAGTATTTGCAAGGGCATTCACTGATCTCCCCACCCACTGTACTGTAACAATCATGTTTCTTGTCATCCATTTATATTTCTTGAGCTTATTCTTGTAGATCCAAGCGACCTCCTCTGAATTATTTAGCCACCCCACTACTATCTTAGAATAATCCCCTTCAATCGGAAACCGCTCCACGCCCAATTCTTTTGCAAGAAGAACTCCTTGTATGGCAGCTAATAGTTCTGCTCTAACAGAATTCCCAACTCCCAATGGGCCAGAGTAGAGAAGGATAACCTCTCCATCCTCATTTCTCAGAACTCCTCCTAATCCAGAGGGCCCTGGGTTGCCCTGGCTGGTCCCATCAAAATTCAGTTTCAAAAAACCTTGTGGAGGGGGGCCCAGTTTGTAGAAACCTTGTTCTTTAAGGATGAGCAGCTTGCTACTGCTGTCCAGTTCCTCCATAAATCATTAAAGGAGAAAGGATGAAGCAGTTCCATTATTGATCAAAAAAAAAAAAAAATGAAACAGTTCCATAGACTTTAACCAATGTATTGCTTTATTCATGATGCAATACTTCAAGGCCTGGCTGCTCCTTTTCTTCTCGTGGAATATTCTAGTATTCCTTTCTCCCAAACTGTCCAGATCAAAGTGGTTCTTACACACCTCTACATGGTTCTTCCTCTTTTATGGGGCCACGAGAAGGTAGATGAGTTGGACAGCATGCTTATTTCTGATGGCATCTCCCACCTGCACCCAAATAAGGAGAAAAGCCAAACCCAAAGCTCTGCAGTGACATCACAGGATAGAAATAAATGATAACAGTCCTCACCATGAGATCTGCAAAGAGTACACCAGTTCGGAGAGATGCAAAGAAAGGGTCTTCTCTTTTGTAGGTTATCCATGGTGTTAACTTTCCCATGGCACACTTCCCAACAAAAAGCCATTACCTTAGGGGGGAACTGGCCTGCACCAGATTTCTTTGGAAGGGAAAGCCTGTTGAGAGGAGGTGTTGCATAGTTACTTAAAAAAGGAACTACAAGAAAAGAACCCTTTGGGGTGAGGGGCTCAGATCCTCTTATCATTTAATGTGCTTTCCTAAACAACCTAGGATCCATGTGGCAAGTTAGTTTGTAGCTCAAATATATACCTCTCTTCTCTTTTGGTTCATTGAAATATATTTTGGCCTAAAAGATCTTGTGGCATGGTCAAATTAGAGCTACTTTTGTGGGAAAATTTTATATTAAAAAATTATAAGCATAGATGGATGTAATTTCTTGGACAAAGTTCCATTACAAGATTGGGTATAGAAATGAAATAGACATTGTATTGAACATTTTGGCTCATCTCATGGATGGTCTAGATTGACCATTAGATCCCTCCACATAACAAAAATAAGTGAAGCCATTTAGGGAAGCTTCCTTCTTGACCTGATTAGGGGACCTTTTCCTATATATCTGTGTGCTTTAATTTTTGCATAGGATTTGAGAGGTTCTATTTTGCAGGAACTCTACTGGAAGTAAACTTATTTTTTCATTATTTTCAGAAAATATATTTTAGTTAATTGAAATATGTAAGTTAAATGGAGATGTGGATGAAATTTTAAAATCTCTCTCATATTGTTTCAAGTTTTTGTATTCTGTATGCAATGGATTTTTGTATGTGGTTTTTTTCAAGGTTAAATATTTAAACTACATGGAAGCATGGATGAAATTTTGAGATATCTCTCATGTTGCAAATTTTGTATTGAATTGCCAATGAGTTTGTGTTTTTTTAAGGTTACTTGTGCATCCTTGTCATTTGGGCTGCATTTTTTTGACAAGTATCATTTAGGTTGCATTTGGTAAGCAAAAGCAAATATGTGCAAATATTTTCATTTCAAATACAAAGGTGTACACTTCATGAAAATGAAAACTTGGTTAGGTTTGCATTGATAAATTTTGTATTCTTACCAAACATATTTGGTTGTGATGGGTACAAACACAAATTTCAAGACCAAAATCTACCTTTTTTACATTGACCAACTTTGAGAGCAGAAGGTTGCTTTGCTTCCATTTTAAATGCAAAAATGTCAGGAAAAACAAATTTACTTTCATTTTCAATACAAAAATATATTCTTATCAAATGCTTGCAAAACTTAACCAGAGTACAAATTCTCTTCGGCTCAACTTTTGCACTCTTAGCAATTGCAGCCTTGAATTCCACTGATCAGTTCTTTTTTTTTTTTTTTTTGTAATTGGTGGATTAATGATGTTTGGTGTTTTCTTTGGTTGCAGCTTCTGGGGAGAGTTTTCAATATTCTACGAGAAAATAATCCAGAACTTGCAGGAGATAGACGTAGGACAGTGATGAGGCCACCACAAGTTCTCAGGGAAGGCACAAAAAAGACGGTCTTTGTGAACTTTATGGATCTGTGCAAGACGTATGACCCTGTGTTCAGTACACTTTTATACTTTCTTGATTCAGACCTTTGCTGTATTGGTGGTTGTTGAGAGTAAAGACATCTTATATGCAAGTCTAGTTTTGTGTTTATTGTTTTGCAAAAGTTTCTATTTTTTTTTTCTTTCATTATGACTATTCTGATTAATAATTATTGCAGTTGGAAACTTTTCTGTCAACACATTCCAGCCTAGTCAAGATAGGAAGTATGGTAGCTGAATGAGTTACAAGGTGTTAAAAGCACCAAACAATTTCATTATGTTGAAGAAAGAAAATATTTAGTAATAAAATGTTATTACCCGACACTAGTTTTTGCTCATTAGGGAGTTTGTGCCTTTTGGACTAGGGGCATCTTCTGGCGCTATGTAGGGAAGGTATTGCAGGTGTATCCAGTATGTAGCCTATCGTGATCCCATACAAGCATAGCTTCTATCCTTTCTAAAGGGCCTAGCATTGATGTTTTTCTTGGTTAGCCATGAGTGTTTTGCTGCATCTTGTGTTTTCCTAAAGGGCCTATCATAGCCAGACATTTCTCTATGCCAGAAGTGAACTCTAGATGATTTAGTTATATCATATTTACTTAAGAATTGCTGTTGGCAGTTTATCACAATTCTACAATAGTGAGCATGTTTAACCTAGGTGTGAAGGTCATAGTGCCCAATGAAACATTATATTGTTTGATGGACTCTGGAATGTGTTATCTCTTAGTGGTTAATTTGCCCGTTGTTCCTGTTGAAGTCACTTTTCTATTATTCTCTTAATTTAACAACATCATTTCCTTGGCACCAATTTCCTTCATGAGTCATGACTATATCTTAAATATAGGGATATCTTCCAAGAATAATTGGATGTTTTGGTTCTTAATCTCATTTACAGAAATTTTATTTTTCTCTTCAATACTATGAGACAATGTTTGAAGTTCCAAGAAGGTTCAGTATTTTACTTGGGGTAATCATGTATTCTTTTTTGAGAAGGGTTACTGAGTTATATTACCTGGATATTTGAATTGATCACCTATTCATGCCTGTAAGTCTATTACTTGCTGGTGATCAGTTGTCTTAAAGCATGGATATTAGTTATTCAAAATGTCCCTTTATCTATGGGTTACTGCCCAAAAATCATGTTTGCTTCTTTGTGTAGGACATGATGGATATATTTATTTCTTGGAAAATTTAGCTGCAGATTTAGGGGCTGTTTGATAGTGGCTGTAGTTGCTGAACTGAAAAACTTAATGCTTCGCCTTTTAGTTGCTAAACTAATTAAATAATAAATTTTTCAAGAGAATGGTGATCTACCCAACTTTGGTTTCAGCCATTAAGGAGCGCACAACCTCCTTAAAAATGTATTCACTAAAAGACAAACCAATAAGCATTTCAGTTAAGCATCTTCAGCTATTATCAAATCTCCCCTTAGTTGTTTTCCTGAGATATACAAAAATATGAAACCTGTTATGATATAGTGAATAATATATCAACTAGTTCTAGTATCTTTAAGAGCTAAGTTCTTAAAACCACTACAATTTCCAGGATGCATAGGCAACCGGAGCATGTTATGAATTTCTTACTTGCTGAAATGGGAACAAGTGGATCTCTTGATGGACAGCAAAGACTAGTTGTCAAGGGGAGATTTGCTCCTAAGAACTTTGAGGGGATTCTGCGAAGATACATCAGTAAGATTCTTAATTTGTTTGTTAATCATTTTACTGATTCTGTACCAAAAAAAAAATTCCCTTTATTGGTCGTCTTCTAGATGAGATATTTCCATTCTTTATTTGAGTGAATGCATGGATGCCCCATCAATGTTTTTAGGCAATTCCTCTATGAGTCACTTCTTAGTTTTTACATCTAGTGTGCTTTTGTTTCCTTGTCATTTTTCCATATGATGAAACCAACTATTCCTAATGTAAGCATGATTCAGTTTTTACTGTTTTACGGAGAATAATTAATATTTCCAATTGTCATTTTTTATGCTTCTCCAGATGAATATGTCATTTGCAATGGTTGCAAAAGTCCTGACACTATTCTTACAAAGGAGAATCGGCTGTTCTTTCTTCGTTGTGAACAGGTAACAGCTTTTTCCTTTACTTGATTTGCTTTTAGAGGGGTCAGCAGGGCTAATGTTTTACCACTAGCATGTTCTTCTACTTGTTCCACTTACTCCCACATTCAGAGCTGTACATCTCAAGGACTTGCATAGGAAGTTTCACTGACAAATCAAGAGAAACTGCTGATCTACATATGCATAATTTGATGGATTCCTGTCTTTAGGTATATAATTTGATGGATTTACATATGCATGTATCCTCTCACCTTCATTTACCTATTCACAAGGGAAAAAATGGAGAAATAACTCCAAAAGACGTCCATAGACCAGTGATTGTGATTATCCTATCAGGTTGATTTTTGATCCATGGAGTCATCTGTGGATTCACTTCAAGAATTAGCTTAATTGGATCATAACCAGATGAAAACTTCATTATCTTGTATTTTGTGTTTCATTTCTATGCCTTTAGAAATCATCATGATAGATTAGATGGTTTAGATAAAGATTCTGTTTGTATTCCATTCTGGCTGAGAAACAAGAAAGAAAAGGAGATGTGATAGGAAAAAGTATATGGGCTGATCGAAAAAAAAAAAGTATATGGGTTTTGCATAGCATTTTGAAAAAGTCTGGCACAGTGGTAATGGCATGCAACCATTTTGTCTATGACATGCAACCGTACATGGATACCATCCCTAGATATGGACATGGCTTAGTAGTTTTTTTATATCATCATTGTCTAAGCTTTGCCCCAACTATATGGGATCAACTACATGAATCATGTTCTGTTGTGCCATATCCATTGTTAAACTATGAGCCCTTAAATCATTTCTTACTTCTTCAATCCATGTCCTTTTTGGTTTTCCCCTCCAACTTGTAACCAAGTACTTCTAATTGGTGCTATAGATGGTCTTCTCTGCACATGACCAAACCATCTTATGTCTGTTTTTCCTTGTCTTATCACCCACTGGGGCTACTCCTATGTTCCTTAAGTCCATTTTTTATCATGTCCTTTCTAGTTCCCCCCTCATCCATCTCATCATTAACATTTCATTTTTGAGACATGTTTCTTGACTGCCCAACACTGATCCATACAACAATGCCTTAAAACCATTTTATAAAATTTTCCTTGTAGCTGAAGTGGTATTCTCCAATCACATAAGACTTTGGATGCACCCCTCCATTTTGCCAATCCTGCTTTGAATTTATGGGCAACATTCTCCTCAATCTCTCCCTTGTTATGGATTATTGTCCCAGGTGTACCCTAATAGCCACTCCTATTATTATTAAATTTATATTTGCATCATCACCATCTGATCATCATAATCTAAGCCATGTCCCAACTCTATGGGGTCATTTACATGAATCCTGTTTTTTCCATTCTGTTATGTTTAGTGCCATATCCATCATTAAATTATGGGTGCTGAAATAATTTCTTGTTACTTCCACCCAAGGTTCTAAATATCGATGCAGGCCGATATGCCGGCCTGTACCGGTGCTTTTTTTATGTTTTATTTAATTTTTTTTTTCAAAACCGATTCAGAGGGGTCAGTTTAAGTCCCGGCTACCCTCTGAACTGTGGCCTGGCCCGATACACCCCCTGTAGGAGCGTATCAGGAAAGCCCCGATACGGGCCGATATGTAACGATATTTTGAACCTTGCTTCCACCCAAATCCTTTTTACTTTGTGCCTAACTCTTCTAGCCCCTTCAAATTGTAACAGATCACCTTTTGTAACAGGTGCTGTAAAAGGTCTTCTATGCATATGTGACCAAACCATCTCAATCTATTTTCTATCATTTTATCTCCTATTGGAGCTACTCCTAGGTTCCTTCATACAACTTCATTTCTAACCCTTCTAGTTTCACCACTCATCCATCTAAGCATTTGCATTTCTGCCACTCATTTTTTGGACATGCTGTTTCTTAACTGCCCAACACTCTGCTCTAGAGGTGATCACTTGTAGCCCAACATGGCCCAACCTGCAAATTACCAGGCCTGGCCCAGCCTGCAATATTTATATATTACATATATGTCTATATACACATATAATATGTTATATTTTATAATATATTATATGTATAAATATTTTAAAATGACATAATATTATGTATATATATACACACATTATCACATATTTTATACATATAATATAAAACATTATACATATTAAAAAGTATATTTAAAGGCATATACCCCAATGCCTGCCGCAGGCCTGCTCCATGATCACCCCTACTTTGCTCCATGCAACATGGTTGGCCTTACAACTATTTTATACAATTTCCCTTATAGCTGAAATGGTGTTCACAATTTACATAAGACTCTGCATTAAGGTTTAAAAAAGACTCTGAAATAGGGATGTCAACAGGTTGGGTTCAGTATGGGTTTGTCTCAACCTGACCCAATCCAGAGCAACCTCATCCAACCAAGCTTATATTTACAAATATTTCAATGTTGAGCCCAACCCAGAACCCAGTTAATTGGTTGAACCAACCCACTGGCATCCCTATTCTGGATGCACCCTTCCATTTTTCCCATCCTGCTTAAATCTATGGGCGATATTGTCTTCAACCTCTCCTTTGTGAATTATTTGACCAAGGTACCCAAAAGAGGTCACATTGAGTTATCTCTTGGTCTCCAATCCTAAGTATACCCTGGTTTGCACTCTTGTTATTAAAGTTCCATTGCATATATTCTGTTTTAGTTCTACTTTATTTTAAAAGGTCTTGTTTCTAATGCAATTGCTAATAAACCTAATTTTGCATTTAATCGTTCACTAGTTTCATCTATTAATACTATGCCATCAGCAAACATCAGGCGCCATGAGACCTGTTGAACATGCTTAGTCAATTCATCTATAATTAGTGCAGTTGTGCAAATAAATAAGGACTAAGTGTAAATTCCATCAATTAAACTTACATTGCATGCATTCTGTTTTAGTCCTAATTATTTTATAACTTGTTTTTAAGTTACCTTTCCATAAATCTAATTATGCATTTATTACTTTTTTAATTTCATCAATTAATACCGTCGTTAGTAAACAAGCACCATGGGACTTCTTGAATTTGTTACTCAATTCACTCATAACTGTAAATAAATTAGGACCAAGTGCTGAGTCTTGGTGAAGTCCCATTGTAACTGAAAATTTATACTCTCTCCCGTAGGTGTATTGTTAAGACTCATGTGTGCGTGCGTGTATTATATATAGGTTGACATTACCTCAGTTAACGTTCTGTTTATTTATTTCATTGGAGGCCAATGACGATCCTCAAATATAAATATATTTGCCTACATTGGTTGATTCTCTAATCCATGATAAGAAGAATATGCAACCTTCTGAGGCCTCAAGCAGGGAAAAATATTTCATGCATCGGTTTGCCTTCTGTAACCTGTATGTTTACCAACAACCCGAAAAAATTGTGTCATCTTTGAAACTGGTCTGACATTCAATTATGATTATATCCTGGGTGGGCCCAATTGAAAACGGGACCAATTTCCTGAATGTGTAGCCCTTCTAAAGAAATGGCAGGGAATATCTCTGTATTGTAGCGTAGAACACTCTGTTTCTTAATCTCTTCCTCGTTTTGCAGTGTGGTTCTGGGCGATCGGTGGCTCCAATCAAGGCTGGTTTCGTTGCTCTTGTTGGACGCCGAAAAGCTGGAGGGACTTGATCTTGATGGACTCTCCATTTGGATGTTCTGTCTTGCCTTAGAATGTCCACAAGCTTGCTCACTGTTACCAGTCATTCAGTTATATTCAATAGTTCTTCCAATTTTGATTTATCTTGCAAAAAGGATTGCTTTTTTCTGTGTTGTGGATAAGTATCATGATGAGGGTGTCGATTTTTTTTTCGGTTACTTCGTAACATAAAGCCATTATATTTAGGTATGGAATAACGGCTGTTTTCATATTTTAAGAAGCATATTGAATGTCATTTTCGTATCCAGTTGGCTCATTATCTTAGTAGGGAGATGAGTTGAGTTTGTATTTGTTTTTCAAGGTTGGTTGGTTCGGTCGATTACATCCTTAGGCTCTGTTTCCAGTGCCAATAACTGATAATTTTAATATTTTATATTTACATACATCGTTTATACATGTCTAAATTAAAGTAATTAGTTTTTTAAGATTTTTTTGTCGTCTTAAACACAATTAGGGGTGGATTCGAACCCAGCTGAGACGAACATTTGAGTTTTTGAGTTCAGCTCGGTAGAAAAATATCAAGCTTGAGCTCGATTTGAATCGGAGATGTAAGCTCAAATTGGCTCGAATGAAAAAATCATATGTTTGAGCTCAATTCAGCTCGAGCTCGACAATGCTTTATGATTTCCTTTTGGCTTTTAGAAGAGCTAAACCATATATGGAACATGTTCGGAAAAAAAAGTAGAATGAAAATAACATGAACAATCAGTCAATTAGATAGTATAGCATGGAAGATAATGATCGCCAAAAACAAGGACCGGATGAACCTATAAAAAAAATAAACTAGGATCGGATGATGCTGAATATACTCCATCTGTTAAAGAAGGACAAATTCCAATTCTCAGAAAAAGAAAAGGAAGGATACTACACCCAAAACGGTCTTTCAAGTTTCAATTCTCAACTGTAAAAACTGATAAAACCCTAAACCCAAATCAATAACAGAATGAGAAGAAGACAGAAGAAATAGCAAACCTAGATCTGTCCCTTTTCAATGATTTGAACAAGTTCTGTTCGTCGTCTATGTCTCTCCTCTGATGTCTGCAGTGACCAGTGAGTGTTGTCGTCGTCTGTATCACCTTTAACTTCAACTGAATGAAGCACCATGACTGACTTGAATCTGTGAGTGTGAGTTTGAGCTTTGTGAGAGGCTGCGACTGCAAGAGTGAGAGCTGAGAGGTGAGACCGTGGTGAGAGTTTAAGAGGAGACTGATTTGAGTGGGTACTGTGGGTGGGTCGAATAAGGGTTTTTCATTTCCCTCTCTTGCAAATTGCAATACCCTAAAGAAAGGGACCATAATTATAATGTAGTCTCGTCAATAAAATTTATTAAAAAAGGCATAGTATATATATATATAAGCTTGAAGGCTCACGAGCCTAACGAGCTGAATTTCAAAATTCTCGGGCTTGGCTTGATTATTAAATGAACATAACAAGAAGCTCGAATTCAACTCGAGGCTCGATTTGGGCCGAGCTCAAGTGGCTTGTGAAAAGTTCGATTCGTGTCCACTCCTAAACACAACGAGTTAGGTGTGAGTTAAACCTGAACTCAATCTGACATGTCAGATTTTCAGATTTTAGATCGGATTCAGATCCAAAGGTTCTGTAATCGATAGGACGTGGCTGTAGATGGATCTGATCTGTTTACTGCCCTGATTTACAGCTCCATCTTAAGCAAATTTATACTCTCTCATTTGCACTTTTTGGCAGTGGAAATTTTGTATCCCGAAGGCCTATAAAAAAATTCATCAGCTTCCGCCCAAGGGCTGTAAGTGATATAAAGTTTGTATGAATTTGGATTTGAGTTCAATGTTTTGGTTGGTATGATACCGAAATTCGAGTGCTTCTAGTAGGGCTTCAAGCTGCAGTTGCACATGAATTTAATCATCTTTTGGTTTTTTCTGACAGCTCTACCTTAGTGGATCTTGTAAATACTTGATCGCTCATCTCCACCTTTGCCTCTATGCATATTGTACATATTAGTAGACAATACAATCATGTCTTTTTATCAATGTTTGGATGGTTGATAAAGAGAATTAGATAGTACTCGAAGGGCATTTTGTAGCTTTTCAAATGCACTTAACGCTGATTAACAGGCTAGTTAATGATAGGTACTGACTTGACATGTTTTGAAAGTTAAGGTACTGAATTTTCACGTTTTAAAGTTTTGGGACCAAAGTGGCACTAGGTCCAAAGTACACAATACTAATCGGGAATTTTTCCCTATATACTACAACTCCACTACTGCTGTGCATATTACTTTCTCATTTTCTCAATGAAGTAGTGTCTTTTCTTCTTTTGTAAAGAAAAAAGAAAGAAAGAAAGTTCAAATTATTATACAGAGTGGCACTATTTTGTAAATTTCCAATTCTTGTTAAATTTATAAGCTGCATGAGCCTTGTTAACCAAAAGGCTTAGCCCATTACTCTTAAATACTTAATTATCAGCTTTAAGCTTGTACTGGAAAACCATTGAATAATTATTTTTGGCACAAACCACTGCACCAGCGCATGTTAAGACTCTAGATAGGTTGAATAAATGTACATTTGAAGAAAAATATGGATCAATGCCTATTCCTCTTCATTACACAATGTGTGGAGTTTATTTTCATGCGTTTTAGTTTTGATAAAAAGTATTTGATGGGAGTTAATTTCTAAAAATTTTTGCATAAGCATAACTTTTGGCTTTCAATTGATTTTTTTTTTTTTGATACAAGCTTAAGCTTTCAATTGACTTCTCATAGCATGGCTAATAAATACATGTTCCAGGAAATTTTTTTTTTTTCCTACCATGGAACAACATGTTAATATGGAATATTTTCACTTAGGTTTTGCCTGGTTTTATAGAAAACAAGGGAGAAATAGAAAGTTGAAAGAAAGGGCCAGGCTTAAGCTCGAGGTATGTACCTTAAGGGTTGGGTCCGGGTTGTTCCTCAACTTGATTCAAAAACCTCTTTTCACTTTTCAAAGAAACATGTACAATGCTTAAATTTCTTAAATTCCACTTGCCCATGAAAAAATTTGTTGAGACAAACATTTATTGAATTACCCCTGAAAACTTCTAGGCAGAAACAAAATTTTAACTCTTAAGTTAGACATGAATATATGAATATAGCTCATGAAGAATGGAGGGAAAAGCATTCTAGAAAATAGGGGCGGAGACGGGGGTGGCAGAGGGGAGTCATTTCCCCCACTGCCTTGAAAATCCCCATAGCACTCATTTAAATACATCTTATATTTTGGACGCCTTATCTATGTTTATTAGCTTTTTGGCCCCCTATCCATGTTTATTAGTTTTTGTCCCCCCTCAACAAAAAAATCTTAGCTCTACCCTTCCCGGAAAAATTAGTATTTGGGGTAATTTTTGTAGGGCAGATTATGCAATATATATCTTCTGTTTCTTACCAAATCTTTGTAAAAGAAAGTCACAGGGGGATTCTCTATTTTCTTTTTTATTCATGTTGTGCTTAAAATTGCTTTTCCTATAACTCAACCATGTTGTGCCGGCCCGTAGGTCTCAAAATCCAAGCCCGGTATGGCCGGATATACAGCTCTAATGATAATATCCAAACATTAATGTGTGTTGCATCCACTGATTTAGATCAAAATCCTAGCGGTGACAGGACTTTCGCAAAAGGACAAATGAGGAGGAAGTGACGCAGATCTTTTTCCTGGCCGCATGGGTAAGCGCCTTCCACGTTTATATGACAGTGCTTTAGAGCCATTCCAACCCCTATTGCTTACCAATAAACCCGCCAAGTAAATTTTTTTATCTTTAGGTTTCATTTGTTTTTCATTAAGTTATTTATTCGGGTAAATACACTTATCTAAGTAATTGTTTCTCGGAAAAGATTTATCAAGATAAGTGTGCTTACCAATGTTCTTTTATTTTTCATATAAATAAGGCAATGACCATTTTAACCACAAAATTCAATTATTAAAATGAGTATTTTTTTTTCATTCAAGTGTTGACAACTTTACCCTAGATGGGAAAGTTATTTACCCACCTAGTCCCCACATAGGATAAGTGGTACTCAGGAAAATAAACTTTCCCTATTCCCCACATAAATGTAAAAAAAGAACATGAATTTCTTGATCAATGAAAATCAAAATCTCATTGACCAATTTTCCCCCCTCTCAAAATCCAAAAAAAGAATGCCCCCTTAGAGGGACATTTAATTTCCAAATTTTCTTTCATATGACTTCAGGCACATGAAAGAAGCTTGGGTGGTTATAGTGAATCAGTCACTTTGTTTAAATTACAAGCCACTTGATAAATCTACCCTCCTTGGTGAAAGTCCAAATGAGCCTGTCTTCCTCTTTATCCAAGCTCAAGGGAGGCTCTGACCTCACCGGGAGAATAATCAAGTCTTTCACCTGGTAACTTTGCAGTCGTTCTACATGGGTATTATAGAACATTAATTAACACACCACTATATGGCCTGCATCTCAACTTAATTAATTAACAAAACTAAACTAATTTTGCTAAATTAATAAGTTAAGTAACAGCTTAATTAATTATGGGCCAACAATATTAATTTAATTAAATCAATTAACAAATAATGCTACCCAAAAAAAAATTAACTAACGAATATGAGTAACAGTTATTTCTATCTATTAGTTATGAATATAAAGTAATAAATGCGTTAGCAAATTTCAAAATGATAAATAATTAGCAACTGATTAAATAGCAAAATGGTTAGAATTAATAAATATTAGTGGTAAATATCAGTTCATAAAATATTTATCATTAATAAATAAGTGATTAAATTATTAAAAGAAACAATTAGTTAAACTATGAAAAGCAATTAAATTAAAAATAGTTAATTAAATAATAAAATTATTGTAGAATTAATAAATGATCTATAATGTATAGCATATATAAGTAATGAATTAATTTCAAACGAAATCTGTCTATCAAAAAATCAAATAAAAAACCTAACCTAAATCTATAATATAAATAGTGGGTGTCAAGTTAAATATGTCAAATAAAATAAAAGAGTTCAGATAAGTGGCCCTGTACTTAGTAAGGGGTCATTCTCCGGTTACATATAGGGGGATAGGGGTGGATAAAGAACTTGACAAATGCTTATCTAAGTCTAAACTATTGAAATTGGGCTTAAAGTCTCAACTATTGGGTCATCCACATTTCAAATTATTTTTCAAAAGAAATGGTAAACTACTTTAATCAGCGTATATCTCAATCGAGCATGTGGTACGATTGATTTCCCAAGAATCAGTAAAGAAACTAGATTTAGGACGATTTTGAATGGATTTCCACGTTTTTTTG